TTGGTGATGAAAAGCCACCCTCCCTCTTCTGAAGGCCATTTAAGGTCCCTTCTCAACAGCCTCCATGCCAAGGTTCATCCCTCCCTCTTCCTCTTGGTGTCCTAGCCTCCCTGCCTGCTTATCCAGACAGATACTGACCCTGAATTTCCCAGGCTGTGTGCTGGGCAGGGCCCGCCCCCGCACTGTAGCAAATTCAAGTGGGAACACTGAGAAGGGCCTATGCACACTGAAGCCTCCTCCCAATGCAAAGCCCTCCTCCCCCGCACCCAGGAGCTGCTGATCCTCTCCCACGCTACCTGGGCACTGTCTCCTGCTCTCCCATTCCCCAGGCAGGCTCTTTCTTACCCTTCTTCCTTCTTCAGTTCCAGCCTCATCAGTGGTTCCTGGAAACCATGAGTACCATGATCAGAAAGGCTGGCTACTTCCACCCACTGTGGCCTCAGTGCACCCCAGTCCATCCCAAGAACCCTTGGGCCCCAAGCACTTTTCCAGGGTCCATACTTCCACCCATTGATTGTCTGAGGGCATAGCCTGAAGGGAGGAGCAGCCACAAAAGCAGGCTGATTGCTCCAAGGCCAGGCCAGTGATAGGCCTGTGAACCCAGCTTCTCTATGACAGTTACCTGGGACGTGGGGAAGACGAGCCTCACCAACTCTGAAGAGGGCAGGGTGCGTAATGGTACCTTCAGCTGCTCCTGGGGGTCATCCTTAGGAGTAGGGGGAGAAGGGACCTTAGCAAAGACCCCACCAACTCCCTGTGGCGGGGACGGGAACAGGAGGGGCTCCAGGGGTCTCAGGAGTAAGGCGCTACCTGCAGATGAACACTCAGATCTTGTTCCCAGCAGGCTGGGTAGTGGAAGCGGTAAGAACTGGCGCCCACAGAGGCAGCCTGTGGGCCCTCGCAGGACCCAGCAACCACAAGTTGAACTCTGCTCTCTGACCCTAGAAATGGGAACCAGAGGAGAAACTCAGGAGGGGATCTGTGTTCACCAAATTCATTATCAAGTGTGCAGGGAAGTCCCTCTTTGACATGGTCTGGCTGGAGAGATGGAGCCCGGAGAGTCCCAGCGTGGACTGGCCTCAGGAGTTTTGCTCCCTGAAAGCAGCCAGTACTGGGTTCCCCCTCAGCATGGAGGAAGAGACAGGAACGAGAGCAGAAGGGACACCGAAGGAGGATGAACTCACCCTCTGGGTCACCTGTCTTCTTCAGCTGAACATTCAAACAGGAGAGCTCCCGAGCCTGTGGTCAAGAGATCCCCTTAGATACACACTGCACCCCTCTCTGGACCCCTTCTCCCCAGAACACTGTTATATCACCCTCAGTCATTAAGCATTTTCTTGAGATTTATTCCCTTGGGGAACGTGCATACCAAGGTCCACAACTCAGCCCACACGACCCAGGCTATGGTGCGCCTACTCAGCTTGGGAGAAGAGCAGACAGCAAGAGAAATGAGCTACCAAGGGAAGCCCTAGGCCCTCACTCACCACGAGGATGCCATTGCTGACGAGCTGTTCCTCACGGTCTGTCCTGGAAAGAGGTCCCCAGTGACTCTCTGCAAGAGCCCAGGCACCCCTCCTCTACCAAGGAGGGGTACCAGTCTCGGTGAGCTGCACTGCCCTTCCCAGAAGGAAAGTCTCCACTGCCACCCACCAGGCACTCCCGAGCCCCTACTCACAGACTCTGCAGCCGAAATTCAACTTCTAGGCGCCCGTCCTCCTGGAAGAGAAGCAAGTTAGAGGCACCATCAACCCAGATGGCAGTGGGAGATGCTGAGGCCATAGAGCTGGGGAAGAGCCACTGTCCCTTTCCACGACTCTGTCTATAGGCCTTGGACTATTCCCAAGAAGTTGTGCTTCTGATCAGGAGGTGAGATAGAAGTTGAGGACAGGACTGCTCCTTGGTGAAAAGTTGCCTGGGAGGCCCGAGCCGCTCCCTGAAGCAGGGGAACCTCTGAAGCCCTATTCTCAGAGCTACCCCCCACCCCACTTCCCTGCACACAGCTGTACCTGAGTGCTCAGTGAGAAACTCTGGCGCCGAGACTCCCCAGCTCGCAGAGTCCCTACGTCAAACAGCACTGACAACACGGGGTCATCTTTAGTGAGCAGGTCCTGGTCAAAGACTTTCAGTTCCACGACATTCTGGAAGAGGCGAGAGAGTGGCAGCTTATACAGGAAGGAGGCTAACAGGGCAGGGGACATGTGGTAACGGGCACAGGGGAAATGGCAAGGGTGGACTCAGGGCCTGAGCTACCTTGAGCAGCCTGTGGATCCGGAAGTGGAAGCTCTGATTCCAGACAGGGTTTCTGCTGTTCTTGACTGTGCGTGTCTGGAGCGTGTGGCTGGAGGCTGTGGGCAGGTCCAGAGTCACATAGCAGTCGGAGGATGTCACTGCAGGAAAGAGGAGCACATGTCTTGTAATGATCAAAAACCCTTCCCAGCCTACCACTGAGTCTATTTCCTTCTTCCTGAGATGCTGTATCCACAGGGCCGAGCCTTCTGCCACTTTTGGGACCCTTCTCTCCAGTGGACCCCTGCAGGACCTCCTACCAGCCCCTCCCACAGGTACTAACTCCTCTCAATCAGCCCCCACCTGTTCTCTGGGCTCAGCTAAGGGCCAGGGAAGCAGTGTGCTTACCTAGGTCCTTGGAAGGCAAGCCATTAGCCTGGAGGACACGTACAGTGAGCAGGCATGTCCCCGCCACCTTTGCCTGCGGACAGATGGGGCAGGTTTGCTGTAGGTGTGACGACCACGGGGAGGTTGGGACAGTCTCTTAAAGTTCACCCATCAGAATCCCAGAGCGACAAGAGACACTGAATCTACACGATGACACCTTCTAATTAAACACCACACCGTGCCAGCCACATACCAAGGACTGAGTGTGTTTACTCAGTTGTCACACATCCTATTAAGGATGCTATGACCATGACCAACCGTGGAAGGAAACTGAGGCCACTCTCTTGAGGCATGGCTGGGACTGGAACACGGGCAAGCTGACCTTTTAATGGGTATGGCTCCTTCTGCTTTTTATCCTATTGCCTCACCTCTCCACCCCACCCCACCAAGCAGCTTTGTGTCGAGGGAAAGAAAGGACTACATTGGGGCTCAGGCAAATGCATGAACTGTAATTGGTGCTATCTACCCCATACTGGGGATGGGTTCTGGGTCAAGATAGCAGCTGCCAGCCCAGACCATCCCACACTGCCATCCTCCAGATCTGATGGGGGTCTCCAGAGCTCCTTCCAAATCCCCTCTGCTTCTGGACATGTGGGCATTTGCCAGTGTGCCCAGGCAGGGGAAGCTTGTGCCACCTGGTCCTTCCCTTTTGGTCTTCAGCCATTTCTCTGGAAAGGTGCCAATGGTCAAGTTCAGGGAGCTCCATGGTTGGGAGCAAAGCTGAGGAAGTTCATCTCTGACGCGGCCCCCGGGCTCCCACATGCCAGAGGCATGGAGCAGCTACTTCTTTTGAAGCCCCCAGAACAGTGGCTAAGATCCCCCAGAGTTCCCAGGACAGACCCCATCCCAGTTCTGGCTTTGCTCCTGGCTTCTACTCTGTCTGATCCTGAAGCTGGAAAGCATCCCTCCCTCTGCTTAGAAAAGCCCACAGCTCCTCTTAGAAACAGTAGCAACCAGGCCCTACATGGGGAGCCAAGTCAGAAATGGGAGCTCAGTGCCCTCTGGAGCCTTACCAGAGCCATGAGATCAAGTCCACGGGAACAGGTATGATGGGGGAAGTGGCCACAGGACCAACGACTGTCAGCTTTAAACCCAGAGCCGAGGTGAGCCAACTGGCCACACATTCCTCTCAAGTCCCTCCCACAGACTCCTCCGCTCCACCCAAGCCCCACGCCCACTGCTGACCCAGCCACCTGCCCAGGAAGTGAGACACCTGCAGCCGATGCTGGAATCAGTGACACCCCTGGAGTTAGCACAGGCTCCCTGAGGCCCCACTCTCCCAACGAGCCCTAACTTAGAGGGGTTCCAGGAGAACTTGCTGCCACAGGCTGAGCAGGCCAGCAGACCATGGCTCCCCAGAACAGCAGTGAGCAGTGGGGCCCGAGCATCATGTCGCCGTGGTCCTTTCGCAACCTTCCTGGTGCCAGTACGACAGGAATGCCCAGTTGCAACTGGAGCCCTGGGCAATCTTGGAAGAGTACCTCGGGCCCCATCAACCGTAAAGGGGAGTGGCTTTCACATCAACAGCTCTTCAAAGCCAAGCCGTGTCTCGGTTGCCTCCACCCCTGGAGCTGGCTGGCCAGAGATGAGGCCTGTGGGCTGGCATGACGGGATAGGAGCTCTCCCTGTTCTTCAGCTGAGTGAGGAGAGGTCTGGATGTGGAGATCAGCTCTTCCCTCAGAGAGCAGCTCACAAGGTTCCCGTCCCTTCCTGTTTAGACTTCTAGAATAGGGGTCACTCTCAGGGCTCCAGATCTGCCGGCTCCCCAGGAACTGGAGAAGGAAAAGCAGTCTGGGACCAAGCTAGAGGCAGCATTGGTGGCCCTGAACCAATCAAGTTCCAGCCAGCCACTTATAACACAACTGTGTGGGTAGCATCCCAAGCCAGGATCTGGCTTGCACCCCTCAATCAGGGTCACCCTGAAACTTTTACCTGAACATTTAAGCCCTTGGCAGGCCATGGAAGGCAACTGTGACAGGGAGCATGAGAACAAAAATATCAGCGCCATCTTTTATTGACTGACTCCTCCATGCTGGTCCATGTCTATCCCCACAACAGCCCTGGGAGCCAGAGCCATTATTATCTCCACTTTACAGTGGGGGAATGAAGCTAACACGCACTGACTCACCCAAGGTCATAGCACCGGTGACAGGCCCTGCTGTACCTGATCCATGCTTCCTTGTCCCTATGTGGCAATTTCCTGGGCACCCTCACCCAGACCTGCCTGGGTGAGGCCCTCCAACTATATTTCAAGTTTCTTCAAGGCTGATCTCAGCCCACGCAGGAACCCCGGCAGCAGCCAGTACATAGGCAAACTCTAGGTAGCTTCTAGAATCAACCCCCAACACGGGCTGTCCTCTGCAGTGTCTGTGAGGGTCCCATCAGTCAAGCAAGGCCTGCGGCCCTCGTAAGGGAGTCCACCAGCTGGAAGTAACTGTACTTGAGGTCATACTCCATGTCATACCAGAAATTCACTGTGGAGAGGAGAGGGACCTGGAGGTGAGGGCCCTTCTTTTCGGTCGGAGCCATCCCCAGCCAATACCTTGTTGGGCACTGGTTGCCCTGGGTAACCTTACCAGCAATGCAGCCGTGGGACTGCTGGACATGGTGGAACCAAAGGGCTGGCAGGTACAACAGCTCACCGGCCCGCACCGTGCAGTGAAGGGCCTGTGCCTGGCTGTAACTGGGGTACCGGACCAGGTCTGGAGCCAGGGGGTCCAGTGGGATCCAGGGCACCTAGAGACACAGCAGCTGCCTGGGAGCAGGCTCTGAGGATCCCACGATCTCTAGCTCTGTCCCTTCTCCTACTTGAGGAGCCACAGACTCAGGATTTTCAGAGTGGGGTGTCACCTCCCCAGACCCTTTGTGCCTACTCCCCAGGAGCCTACCCTTTCCCCAGAACCCAAGAACAGAACAGACACCTTCTCCATGGCCTCCTCGTCCACCATTCTAAAAGTGCCCTCTTCGGTCAGCTGGTAGGTTGCTGGTGTGTACACATCTGAAGACAAGGTCAGAGAGAAAAATGACCAGCAGCCTTTCAGGCTCTCCCCACCATAGCCGGTCCAGGGTTCCCTGCACACAGTGACCAGAGGGCTGGGAACCTGAGGCTACACCTCAGGCCGAGGCATCCAGCCCGCCCTGGGCTCCCACTGCCCGCCCTCCACCACTGGCTACCAGCTCCTTTTAGACCAGGTTACCTACCATAGGGGATGAAAGGCCGGTCACTGGGAGGATGTAACAAGAAGTGTTTCTCGCCGGAGACCACACAGTACAGATTCTCATAGTGGTCCTTGTGCACTGCCAACACATGAAGGCCTGGAGTTGAGGGGAGGAAGGCAGCCCAGCCTGCCCTCAGCACCACACCCCAACAGAGCCTACAGAGAGAGGGAGAGCCCACACAGGATCGGCAGACTCGGAAACTCCGAGGACTCTAGCAAGCATCACAGAACTTGGCAACCAGAGACTGAATATGGACTCCCCTTCATCAGGAGGGGAAGCAGAACCAACAGGCTCCACATCCCAAGCCCTGCTCTCCTATCTGACTTTGAAGAGGCTTCTCAAGACCTAGAGGGTATGGTGTACCCTGTCCCCAATGTCCCCACTCTCAAGAGACCCTTTATGGTGTCCTAGTCCCAAAATACCAAAAGAAATCTGAGGACAGCTAATCCTTCCGAGGCCCACCTTTCTTCTTGTGCCCCATCAGCTCCCTCCCCACACCTACAGGAAGTCACCGCAGCTGCCTCGCCCAGCCAGAAGTTCACGGCATCAGGCATCTTTCCTGTGGGACAGAGTGAGTTAGTACCAGGCCTAGGATGACCCACGCACAGGGCAGCTACTCAGAAATCTGGGCGGGAGCACAGGCATGCCAAGGAGTCTGGGAGAAGGTGACGCTGGGAATGTGACCTCTGGGGCAGAAGGGAGAGCAGCCAGGTGGCACCTGATCCCATAGAACCAAAACTAAAGGCAGAAAATGGGAAAGCAAGCTGACCCCTTTCCCTCCACTTCATCCCCATGCCCCCTGCCTCTTGCCCCTCCACTCACCCAGTGACTCAGAGGCCCAGGGCACATGGGACTCAATGTCTGGCAGAAGCTGGGGCAGCTCGGTGGGCAGGTTGGAGCACTGCTTCTGCACATAGAGGACTCCTGGGTGCTGCGCCCGGCCCTCCAACACATCCAGCACATGGCTCATGGGCAGGCGACATTCTGCGGGCATCACAAACCGGTCCCCTCGCACAGCGTCTGCATAGCCATCTGGGGTCACAGCCACGCTCACCTCTGTGGAGCCCACTGTGGTTCTGAAGGAATGAGTCCTTGGTTTGTAATCTGCTGCTAATGGCCACTGGTCCACCCTGCCCCAGAAGGGAAACCTTACCTTAAGTAGGAGAGGGACCACTTCTGGAGGGCTGGCCAGTGTTGCAGCGCATTGCGGATAATGCAGGGCCTATTGGGGCACACCCAGTCCCGGTAGAAGCACAGTGGACTTGGGGGCCCATCTAGGTAGGGCACAGCACGAGATACACTGAGGTCTTAAGAAAAAAATGAGGAGCGGGGGCCTGAAATCAGTGGGTGGTACCATCTGTCACACTATCTGCACAAGAAATCCTCCATCATGGACGCCCTAGGCAAGGCTGACCAGGGAAGCCTGCAGGGTCGACCCCTCACTTCTCTGCCCTGAAGAAGCAATCGTCGCTGAGCTGGTGGCCACAGGCTGACTGTGATGGGGCCTGGCCGCTGTGGCTATCGGGTGATCCCGTCACCTCAAGCAGGTCACGGCCTAGCTGTCTGGGGAGATAACTACCATGTGACAACACCAGAAGTCAGGCAGGGGCTGAGCTGAGCTTTGCGTCTCAACGGCAACAGCAGCAGCATCTTCAGCCACCTTGGGCCAACACTTGGCCACTGCGCCACCTACAGAGACATTTTAAGTGGGTGTGGTGGCTGACAGGTGCAAACCCAGCACCTGGGAGGGGGAAGTAGGATCACCAGCTCAAAGCCACCTCAGCTACAAAACAAGTTCAAGGACATCCTGTTTGTGTGCGCGGGAGCGCTGCTTTCACAGAAATCAGGATTCTACTAAAGAAGCTAAGTACACTTTCCCGAAAACGTGTTTACTATCCCAGAATGCGGCATGCAGTACTTAGCGGACACTCATGATACTGCTGACGATGGTGTGACACCACACCTGGCTCTGCAGTCTCTGGATGTATCCTACCCCAGTCCTGCCCTTGGCCTGGCTATCTCGAAATCCTGTAGATTGTACCTCTTTGTCTCTCAAACCACCCTTTCCTTCCCTCTGCTGCTCCGGGTCTGGTCACACTGACAGGCCCCCTTCCCTGGCCACCCCTTTTAACTAACCTGTCACCTGTCAGAACAGTCCTTATCTCTTGCCTATTTAGTTTTCCTCCACGGATTTCTCATTACCTGACCCTGGATAGCTTTTCGCCCATTTATTTACTCATTCTCCGTCTCTTTCAGAACGGAAGCACAATGGCTTGAACGATCGCCATGGTTCCTGGTGCATCTCTAGCGGGTTAGCACGCAGTGGGTGCTCAGCAAACATAAAGCCAAAGGAAAGTGCCCCGCAGTACCTGGCTGCTGCTGCAGCGAACCAACTGCTCTTTCTGGTGGGACCCCACTCCCTTTCAAGCGCATCTACCCGAAAGGCAATCCCATCTTGTCGTGCACCTAGTGAAGACTCCTCTGACGGCTCGCTGCTGCCCCTGGCAGAATGCAGTCCACCCTGCTTGCGTTCAGGCTGCTCCACGACTAAGTCCAGCACATGTTTTCCAGTCTGGTTTGCTACTGTCTCATGTCTGACCCTGACCACAGGCCCTTGACTCCGGCTGGGTTTCATGGCTGCTGTTCCTCTCTGGGCTTTTACGAGAGCAGAGTGCTCTGCTTTGTTAATGTTCAGCCTTACTGTCTGACCAAACACTTGGGGACCAATCAGCAAACCCCAGACAAATGTCTACGGCCTTCATTTTGCCCAAGGTCACGCCCATTCGTCGTTCCATCTCCATGCCACCTGCAATCCCTTGCGATCAGTCAGAAAGTGAGTGTCTTTAATGGACCTGGGAACCACATGAGAGACATTGGTGGGCCCACGAAAACTGCGGAGAAGAGCTAGTCATGTACTTGCTGTCCTGAACAGAGGTAAGAATCACCAAGCAGACCCCCAAAGCAGTAATCTTAGATGGGAACTGGGGCTCAGGACAACTAAGTTGCTTTTTGGGGTCTATTTTGCAATGCCTGGGATTGAACCCAGGGCCTCCTACATGCTAGAAAAACATTACCACTGTATTACTCTACCCTGGAGTTTAAAAATGAGTAGAAACTGACTTGCTTTGTTTTTCGGGAGAGGAAGTGGCTCTGGCTTCAGAGATCCGCCTGCAGCTGCCTCCTGAGTGCTGGCATTAAAGGCGTGCACCATTACACAGCTGGTGTGAAACTGCCCATCTAGCCTTTGGGTTTTAACTATACCAGTTTTGTTTGCGCTTCGTTTCGAGAAGAGCTGTTTTTCTCCACTAGAGCTTCACACTGCACTCCAAACAACTCCTGTGACCCAGCAATTCGGTTAAGAATTTAACTGACAAAAGTCAACATGAATCCAGAGTCTGGGTCCTCCAGACTCTGCCTCCCAGCTCTGGAACAGCGGCAGACATCCTCATCAGGTGTGGTCATCATGTGCTTAAGTACTTTATGCACTCAGCTAGCAGGCTCTCCAGACCTAAATACCCTCGGACTGGTGAGATGGCTCGGTAGATAAAGACGTTTGCTGCCAAATTTAAACACACTGAACACACACATTCTGGCACACAGAGGTACTTAAACTTTGTTAAGTGAACAGCCAAGTATTTGCAGCTGAATTATTGAAAACAAAAGGTTAAAATACCTGCACGCCTATCAATAATGGGTACCCTGGTTCACAGGTGTCTTCAGCACCTGTGAACTTGAAGCAGACTTGAAGCAGAGGCACCTGGAATGCCCTCTATGACCCGATGCAGCGAAGAATGCTTAGCAGGACTGTCTTTCTGGACAGCTAAGGGGGTGGCAGTGAAGCTTACTTTATTTACATTGCATACAGACAGAGGTGTCTGCACTACTGTTCAGTAAGAAACGACTTAGTAAAGAGTGGGGGAGGAGGAATGAGGTAGTGAGGATCGTGGAGGAACATAACACCGAGTAGTGAAACAGCCAGTATTGCTTGGGTGGGTCTCTACAATCCTCAAAGCTTGGAGTTCGCTCTGAACAAATGATCCCAGTCAGCCGCTTCTCTCCTCAGAACCCACCAGCATCCGAGATATTTGAGGTTAAAGAGTCTTCGGTACCAAAAATGCAGCAATGCAGAGCACAGGGACTCAGCACCCGGCTGGCTTTGAGAACGGCACGACTACCGTCGGAGCTGGGCTGTGAACAAACCCACAACTGCACCCCACGAAGGCACCGGGACGTGCGACCGTGAGCTGAGGGCTGGTCCACTAGCTAGAGAAGGGTGACACACGAAATGTGTGGCCACCAGAAGGCCACTCATGCACACACGATCTGAGTTCCGGTACCCCAGGATCTCTCCACGTTGTCACCACGCGGACGCCACTCACCGCGAGCCGCAGCCGGGAACTCTTGCAACGCCCTCCGCACAGAGTCCAGTGCCGCCTCCGCCATGACGCCCGCTGGAAGAGAGCCCGCCCCTATTTCCGCTCTAGGCTCCCAGCCCCGCCCCCATTTCCGCCCTCGCCCCGCCCCTCAGGAGGTGCGACATGTGGCGCTTCAGGGTTTTCTAGCCAATTAACAAACGATTGTGTTTATTGACAATTTCATATTTCGGTACAAACGAGACATTAAAACAGCCCCGCCCCGTACAGCCGAGGAGGAGACAGGCGCCACAGTATAAAAGTTATAAATAAGGGGCTTTTCAAAACTGGGATGGGACAAATCTGGACGTGGGCAGCTGTTGCCAGAGGCTTCAGACATGCAAAGGAAACTAAGCGCCGCTGGCCACAAGACCCCATCCGTGCAGGGTAGAGGCGCAGGGAAACACCGGCTCCCTCGAGAAGGGTACGTTGGCTAAGACCCTCTAAGAACCTGGCAAGTCAGGGCAGCCTTATTGCAGTGGGCGGATTTCTAATCCTCTGGATGACAACGGGTCGGCCCTTAGCCGATACTGTTCTTCGGGCTAGAAGTTTGGCCAGGCGGGTAGTAAAAAAAAAAAAAAAAAAAAAAAAAAGGGAATACATGGTTTGGGTATGCTTAGGACACTCCAACTGAACCTCCAAAGCTAAGCACCCATTAAAACCGTTTTTTAGCCTCTGCCTCCAGAGCTTGAAAGGCGCTTCGGCAGGTTTTTGTCTGCCATACCTGATGCAGAGGGAAGGAGGGCCCAGAGACACATACTCACCAATTCTGTAACTACATCACTACCTGTCCCTACCTACAACCTGCCTATGCCTTCTCTTTACCTTCTAACAGTGACCTTAATTCTGTCCCCTACCTCTGCCACCTGCCTGTCCACCTATCACTCTTCCAGCTTGTCTCTTGCCCAGACCCACCGCTCCACAATCTTCAGCATTCAGTATCTCTGGGCACCCAGCACTGCCTTTGAAAAAGAGCCTCCTCCATGAGCCAGGTGTCCCATAGCCATCTCATGTCAGCCTGGCTGCGGACAACCAAGATCCCAGAATTTTAGTGTGCTCCTTTTCATGTTTCTGGATAGGAGTTCTAGCGAAGCCAGGCTAGTAAAGTTGAGGCCAAATGTGAAGAACCAGGTACATGTACCAGCCAGGCAAGTATTCTAACAATGAACACTCAACTGTGTATACAGTGTGTGTGTGTGTGTGTGGCCAAAGTCCTAGGAAGATGGGCCAGTGCCCTGTAAACCATGAGGGAACTCCCAATACAGGTTCCTGATTGCGCATTGCCCAGGATAGAGGGAGAAAGTGGTCCCTGGGGCTTCAGTAGTCCTCTCTAGAGACCAGGGTTAGAGAATTAAGAAAGCCTAAAGGGTCGAAGAAAGTAGACCAGGCTTTGTGTTTGCCCAGCAGAGGGCTTTACTGTCCTGCAGCAAGATCCCACAACTGGCTCCACAAAGAAAAAAAGGGATGGGGGTAGAAAATGCTGGGCTCTCTTGCAGGGAGAACGGGAGTGGAATGTGGGGGCTCAGGTCCTGATACAACTCAAGTCTTCTAAGGGCTGGGAATCCCCTGGAGGGCCAGGCAGCTCTACCTTTCTGGACTGCCAGGAACTGGGGAAAACCATGCCTGCTTTGGCAGCCAGGAGAGTGCAGCTGGTGCAGGGGTAGAGGCAAGGGTCTACAGTTGGCTTAGGGCACTAAAGAGCACATTGCCTTTCATCTCTACCCCGAGTACCCTGTGTATGCTCCACCCCAGGGAGCTGATCCCTGAAGTAACTTCAAATGGCTTCTAAGAAGAGAAGGCCAGCCCTTTCCGATGTCCCCAGATGAGGCAGGCTGCCCTCCTACCCTCACAGCACCAAGATGACATAGACTCAAGACTGCCCTGCTCATGAGAGCCACTGGAGGGGCTTTAGAGGCAGGAGTCTCAAGGAAGTGAGGCAACAGTCAGGGAAATAAATTAATAAATACAGGGGCCCCATGAGGAGCAGCTGGGAAAGCTGTTTTGCCTCTGAGCGCGGATCCCTGCCATCCACTCCAGACATTCTCACAGGTTCTGAGGAGTGGAAGAAGGGCTACAGTTTGGAGTGGGAGCATTTCTCTCGGGATGGGCTTCTGGAACTCAGAGTCTGCGCTCCATACGCCGCTCCACAGCTCGAAGCAACAGTTCTGAGTACTGCTCCAACAGGGCCTGAGTTTGCTCAGCCCCCACAGCCCCAGGGCTGCCACCCGGGCTGGATAGCGCAGCCCCAGTCAGGGCCTCTAGCTCCTGCCTCACTGAAGAGAAGGTGTCCCTCAGGAGACGGGAGATGCGGCTGTGCTCTTCTGAAGGAGTCTTACAGCTGGTCACCTGCAACAAGAGCACTGCCAGTGAGGTGGAGAACCAGCGGAGAATGGGTACAGGAAAGGGGGCTCCACATAGGCCTAACCTGCCCAGAAGGGACTAGCTAGTAGTTCCACGCATCAGTACGATCAGAGCTACTCTGATCCGTGACCCAGATGAAGGTCCCTCCAGATGAGCAGAACCATCTACTTCTTCTTGACCACTTTTCCCAACAACCCACCCAGGCTGTACTTCTCCTTCAGATGTGGGTACTGTTAAATCGTTTTCTATATCTAAAGAGCCCACACCATTTTGGGATATGAAAAAGCATACTATTAATAGTTACACTGAGACAACAGGCACAAACTGGGGTTTTCTTGAACAAGATAATGTTCTAAGCTACAACCCTATCTTGAGTGCCCCAGTTTTTGGCCAGAAATGACCAATAGATAGTGGGGTTGAGGCCTGACCTGGCTTCTCGGGATATTTCTGAGTGCTCCCCCACCCCCGTGTGTAGGAGAACCCTGATGCTGTTCTCTCGGCAGTAAAGCACGGAGCGCTGCCGACAGGCTGTCTTCCCACCGCTTGCTGCCCAGTACTCACCAAGCGGTAGAGCTGCACTGCCTGGCGCACATTCCCCTGGAGCTCGGCCACAAGCTGTTCACATTGCTGCAGGCTCAAGGCCAGTTCTGAAGGACAAACACCAGTGAGGTCCAGCTGCTCATTCAGGCATCCCAACTCGGGGCTCTCAGAGCAGTGCTGTAATCCCCGCCAGCCCACAGGCCCTGCCACTTGCCCATTCTCTTCCAACACCTTTCCTGACACCACACAGACAGAGCTTAGAGGAAAAGCCAGCCCTAGCTCCAGCCCGAGAACCAGCCCCAGCGTACGGAATACATTAAAGGGTTGAGTGGATCCTAGGGAGATCATGAAGGGTGGCAGGAGTGTCACACCACCAGGAGTGTGACTTATAGACCAAGACAGGAACAGACAGGACGGAGAACGCCCAAGGCTGGATGCACACGCATGAGATGGAGTCAGAAAGCAGCCAACAGAGACAGGAAGAAGATAGGATGAGAGATGAGACTGGGGAGCTGTGCACACCTGAGTCCTGGCTCAGGGCTGCCCCTGGCCTGGTGCATTCCATGGGGTTAGGAGTCTTCTCAGGGGATGGGGGCTGCAAGCTCTCAGGGTCTTGGAGGAGGTTGCTGACCGGCAGTTGCTGGGCACAGGGGTGGTTGGGGCCAGGATGAGTCTGGTACTCTGTCCTAGGTTTAGGAGTAGTACCCTCCCCTAGACAGGCCCGCCTTTCCAATGTAGTGTGAGCCTTTCCTAGGCTCGTCAAGGATCCGGATTGTTCTGCTTCATTATGGACTCGGCCCTTGGTTACAGGTGAGAATGTGGTCAAGGTAGGACGGTCAGGCAGTGGTTTGGGGATGTCCAGGACAAGATGAGCCCGGCTAGGCAGAGCTAGCTTGTTGAGTGGTGAGGTTCGCATTGGTGCAGGAGCTTGAGGTTCAGCCGCCAGGCCCGGGTTCTCCCCAACAGAAATGCTACGAGCTAGCTTGGCTGCAGAACTGGTCGTGGGGTTCTGGCAGCAGTGGGGCTGAGATGGGTAGCTATCAGCTTGTGGCAGGGATCCTAAGCTGCCCTGGACCTCCACCTCTCGGAAGAGCAGTGGACGTGATGAAGGCACCTCATCTGCACAGAAGATGGGGACAGATACAGGTCATGTTGTGGGGAAGGTGTGCCAAATGCTAGGGCTCAATCCCTAGTTGCTACTTTCCCTCTGAACATGACCACTCCAAGGGACATGTAGTGACAAGCACAGAGGTACACCAGGGCCACACTGGGCTCTCCTTCCTCCAGCATGCCCACATCCATGGCCGTGTTTCCCACAGCCTGGAGCGGAGCACACCAGGTTACGTACCCTGTGGTATGAGACTGTGCACAGACTGGGCTTTCTGGAGTCCAGCTAAGGAGCGGCCAGGAGCCATTTTCTTGGGGGCCCAGGTGTTATCCAGGTTGTTACGCCGTCGTGGTAACAGCACAGGAGCCACCTGCTGGGGGCCGGAGTTGCCAGAAGAGGGTTCCATTTCTGGGGGTGCTCCTGGGGGAGTGGCACCACTGCCTTTCAGCTGGTCACCAGATACCTGTGACACCTGGTCAGATCTTGGTATCAGGACCAAGCTTGAGGAGGATAAAGATGGTTCCCTACAGGGAAAAAGGGTTTAGAACGGGTCCAGAGAAGGCTCAGTGTTTTCCTCCCTCTAAAATAGCCGGATGCTCTCATAGACAGAGAGGCACCAGGAGAGGACAATCACAAAGCAAGACAGGGTTTGGGTGAAGCCACTAGTTCCAAAGCTAGGAGCACTTTGTACCCTTAGGAAGAGGACAGAAGGCTATATGCTGTGCCAGGTGCAAGAGCACCAGGCTAGCAAAACCACGTGGGGTATACCTGAGGGGGGAGGTCTGCACTTGCAGCAGAAACCGTGATGAGATGCTCCGAGACTCTGTCCTTTCTAGGACCCGTGCTGGACCCCCTGCAGGAGGCACAGAAACCATGAACTAAGTCAGAAGTTAAGTTCTTGCCTCAGGTCTTGCCTCTTCTTAGAAACCTAAGGCACTACTACCTTCCATACCCTCCCTTTCAGGTAGGCATGGAAGGGAGGCGGGCAGACTCCACTGACTAAAGGATGGCCCACTGACCACACCTGGAGCAGACCCATTGGCCAAAGTCTCAAAGTGTTGTTTTAGAAACTGCTCCTGGTCCGGCGTATGAGGGCTGCCTTCTTGTAGCCCACAGAGGCCAGTGCCTCCCTCCTCTTCTTCTTCATCACCCTCCGCTGGCTCTTCAAGGTCTGAGGAGATGCCATCCACACTTAGGGGCTCTGTGCTCTCAGAGTCTGGATGTGGGGGAGGGGAGAGGCATCCGACTGTACCCATCTGTCACAGGTGCCCCACCCCCGCTTCAGTCAGTAGTCCCTTCCTCACACTGCAGCCTTACCTTCATTGGGGTGCTCAGGACTGGAGAGCCGGCTGCTGCTGTAATCCACAGAGCAGGCGCTGTCGGGACTGTGCTTTTCCGAGCCCCTGATGCCTGAGTAGACTCTTCCTAGGGAGCCTCTGCTTGGAGCCTGCACCTGGAACGCACTGCCAGGAAGGCAGCAAAGACAAGGAAAAACAGTAAGCCAGGGTCAGCAGCTCCACTGAGGTGGCAGGCAAACCCTTAGGGCCTGGAGGCCAACCATTGCCTAACTGAAAAAACTCAGAGGGCTTCATGGCCTTATGTGCTCGGGCCAGGGCACAACCCTTGCCTGGTATCCATGGTGGGGCTGTCACTGGGCTCCGGGTAGACAATACCCTCCTCAGTGGGTGAAGGCTCCAGATCCTGGGCAAAGATGCCTTCTTCTTGTGACAACAACTGAATAATGTGGGGGCAGGAGCAGGGCTGGGAAGCCTGAAGCCGGGGGGCCTTTTCCTTCTGAAAACACAAAGAAAGGGGCACCTATGAGGGCTGCTGATGCGAGAAGAGAGTGTTGAGAGGAGGCAGAGTTGGCAAGGATTTGGTGAACACCAATTCTGAGGAAGCAGAGTACTCCAGCTCTGGGAAGAGGCAGCAGAAGCCAGGCTGGGCTCTGGCTGGAGAAAGCCAGCTCACCTGGACAGCACATGAGAGCGCAGGGGCCTGCAGACCATGCTTCCCAGGACCAGATGGGGACACAGCCAGTGAGTCCTGGCTTGGGCCTCGAGGGCTTGGGGCCAAGGTCTCCAGCTGTCTCAAGTCCAGCATGGAACGAACACTCAGCTCCACACCTGGCTGAGCCCAGCGCCCTCTTCTTTTGGGTCCTGTGTTGGCTACAGGGGTTGAGCCCAGGAACTCCATGGTCTCTTGCTCCTGGTGATTGTAGGTGAAAAAGGAGTAATAATTAGAATCACACTATCAATAAACAAACATGTATGTACATATAGTCTGCATGCTAAGCACCTTCCATTACTAGTTCATTTCATCTTTACAGCAAGGCTACAGAGAAGGCCACACCATTATCCCAGGTCTTACAAGGGACGGAACCACAGCACAGATTTCAGTGACTAGCCCAAGCTCACAGAGGACAATAAGTGGCCTGCAAGCCAGGCTGGCTTTAGAGTACATGCTCTGAGCTGCATTCTAGACAGGATATCTAAAATAGGAACCCTTCTAGTTTCTACCTCTACCTGGAGTCTTATATAGAGCTAGGGTTCTAAATAATCCTGTTCTCTGAAGACACCCATCAGAACCCTGAATCTTTTCACAGCAGTAAGGACAAACCAACAACAAAGAACTGAGGCCCGGCATAGCCAGAGAGTACCAGATTCCACATCATCAACGGAGCGCTAGACTCAAAATCCCAACTTGGAACATGCGAGGGCTGGGCTGCTTTGGGGCTTGCTGAAAAGATCTTGCCCTCTCTGCCACTCTGCAACAGTCACAGCCACAGGTCTTGTAGCCTTTCCCTCTGACCGTTCTGAACTTACCTCCTCACTGGGGTCTGCAGAACTATAGTGTCCCTAGTCTTCTACTTGCTGGACCCTTGCTTTCCTGGACTTTCATCCCAACCATGTGACTCAGCACGTTTCTACTCCCCAGCACATGCTGCGTGTCTGTTACTGTTGCTTTGCTCTGTTCAAGCAGAGCGTGGTGGTGCAGGCCTTTAATTCTAGCACTCAGAGGCAAAGGCCCTGTGGATCTCAATGAGCTCCCGGCCAGCCAGGCAGACACTTGCTCTAGAACAGCTAGTCATCTGATACAAGAAGGAGGACTGGTGCTCCCTTAGCCCTCATCCCAGACTAGACATAAGGCCTTCTTTGGAGACAGACTGGAGCATGTGGGCAGATCTGATACCCAAATGCCTCATGAGGTGCAAGGGACTCAGAGGCTACCCCTTCACTTCCAGTGACCTTGGAAGCACATTTCAGAGATGGCCACTTACCCGACTCATTTCCCAGTGGGACAAACTTCGGAGCAAGGCTGGACTCGAGACCGAGGCTAGACAGAAACAGGCAGTCAGAAGTGTTTCCCACCTATCCACCTCTGGGACCAGGAGCCCACAGCATCCCCTTCCCAGTGTGATCACTGTGATGGCCCAGTTTCCTTAGCCTGTGGTCCAGATGGGGCTCATCTAGCCACTACACCAGCTGTGCCATCTGCCTCATCCCTGACTGCCACAAACCTGGCTCTTTCTTGGTACTCTTTCCAAGAATGGGTAGAGCTGGCAGTTCTTCTTCTTCAGTCCCCTCATCTTCCCCCTCCTTGTCACTGTCTGAGGAAAGAGCTGGTCCAGGAGGGGGAGCCACTGGAGCCTGGTGCCTGAGTTCAAGACAAGAACATGGGAGAGGGCTCATGCATGAAAAAGAAGGTCTAGGGAGACACAGGAGCTGCTGAATACCAGGTTCTAAGGGAGGAGGAACAGGGACAGCACACCAAATGATGTGGACAATGGGCAGAGCCAGTCTCTGCCACTTACTGCTTGGGTCCAGAAGCCCTTTGAGGAGAGGTTGGTCCTTGCTGCTTGGCCCCTCGCTGACGCTGGCGCAACTCAGCCAGGCGCTGCCTCATGCTAATGGTCATCTCAGAGCTCAGGCGCCAGACAAATATGCAGCTGGGGGAGCCACAGCATGTGTGAGAACTCTGGAGCAGCAACGCCAGTCTTTCCCAATTCCCATGTACTGGTAAAGAGAGCCAAGCCACCCTCCACTGCCAGGTCAGGCTCCACCAAGAACTATCCCTATTTAGACCCACTTCCCAGAGACATCATGAGCTCACCTGTCCCCTGACACAGAGATGAGATGTTTGCAGTCATTGCTAAATTTCATGCCAGTGACAATCTCTGTGAAGAGTAAAGAATATGGTCTCTGAACTGCCATGGAAGCCTAACCAAATCCCTGCCTGTTCTACAGTGAAGATGGGCACTGTCTGCAGGGCAGGGGCAGGCTCTAACCACACTTAGGGGCCTTTGCTCTGAGAGTCTGGATGGGAAGGGGAAAATACCAACCACACTGTCCCCTTCTGCCAGCAGGGCTTCCTACCCTTGCTTCGGTCAACTGTCTCCTCCCAGGGCAGATGGGCAGTCACAGGGCGGCAATAGACAAGGGAACAAAGTAGAATTCTGGATGGGGAGGTGAGTGCTGCACTTACCTGAGTGACCAAACATAGTGGCCACACACTCGCCTGAGGAGAAGTCAAAAATGGAGAGGTTCTTATCAGAACAGCTGGTGGCAATGTAGATCCCTGAGGGGTCTGTCTGCACCTGGGAAGACACAGGGAAAAAGTGGGGAAGCCACGCCCTTTTCATTCAGCACCTCTTTATCCTGGAGCCGCCTGGCCCTTACCTTAATGAGAGTGCCGTCCTCGCCCTGAGAGCCTTTAAACAGCTTTTTCTGCTTCCCGCTGCTGATGTTAAAGATGCTGTGGAGGAAGGACTGCTCGCGTTAGGTGGGGTACAGCACAGGTGGCCAGACCTAGCGTTCATCCCATTCTGGGAGACCCTCTTGACCACTCTCAGGTAAGGCATGGCACTTTGTTGCCTCAAAGAGGGTCAAAGGCCCAGACAAAAGGACAAATATGGGGACAGAGCTGCATGAAAGAATGTGGCCCCAAAGTCTGAGAAGTGGAGGCCAGAAAAATGACCCAGTGGGTAAAGCCAGGCCTGATGACTTAAGTTTGATCTGTAGGACCCATGTCCTCTGATGTCACCATGGTATGTGCACACCCTTCCCTGCCGCCCCACACAAAATAAATAAATTAAAAATGAGTTTTTGAAAAAGTCTGAGAAGGGAATGCCCACCGAATATTTCGGTCTTGGCAGCCGATGGCCGTGTATTTCCAGCTGGGCTCCACATCCATGTCATAGAGGGTTGTCTTCCGTACCACGTGGTGTGTTCGCGTAAACTGTACTCCTTCTCCAGACTGCAGCAGGGAGGACGTGGGCAGGCCACACCCAATGCGTCACCAGGTCACAGAGCTTGCGTTGTCTCCCTTCACCTCTTGTAACCTGAGACCCTCTTGCCACCCCTGCCCTGTCAGGGACACCCAGTGGCCTTACCTTCTGTGCAGTTCGGAAGTAAATGCTCTTGTCTGCGCCACAGCTGATCATGCGCACTTGCCCATCACTAGCTATGGGGGACAGGGACGTGGATGCTTCCACCATATGAAGGCAGCCTTTCTTCTGCCTTCCCTTACTTCTCCCAATCTAGCTACTCTACATGGTGGACCAACCAATTAAAACAGAATGTATTCCACTAACCCTACGTCCTCACCCTCAGGCCAGCCTGTCTGACTCAGACTCTGTATTCCACCTGTCTTCCCACCTAGCCTCATGACTCTCAGGTACTTTCCAATACCTTCCCCTGCCCCCCCACCAGCAGACAAGGTGGTAGGTGGAGGGATGTACAGCCTCCGTTTCCCAGGCCCCACCTGCAAACTTGACAGCAGTAATGGAGGATGAATGCTCGTCCAGAGTCTGCTGCAGACTGTACTCTCGCCCAGCATCCAGCACATGGATCAGACGGTCCCGGCTTGCTGACGCCAGCAGCTTCAAACCTCAAGTTGGAAAGAACCCCATCAGCTCACATGAGCAGACTCTTAATGATGCCCAGTAAAGAGCCCCAAGGAGATGGTGTCTCATAGCTGTATAACCATGGAACAAGGACAGGGCTACCCTGTGGTAGTTAGTTTGAAAGAAAATGGCTCCAAAGGGAGTAGTACTATTAGGAGGTGTGGCCTTCTTGGAGGAAGTGTGTCTCTGTGGGGTTGGGCCTTAAGGTTGCTTTTGCTCAAGCTTCACTTAGTATGACACTCAGACCACTTCCTATTACTTCCAAGATGTAGAACTCTCAGCTACCTCTCCAGCACCATGTCTGCCTGCATGCCCCCATGTCCCACCGTGATAATGGACTGAACCTCCAGACTGTAAGAGTTGCCGTGATCATGGTGTCTCTTCACAGCAACAGAAACCCTGACTAAGACACACTCTTTTCTTAAAGTCCTACAGAGACAGAATGATCCAAAAGATTATAGGACTCAAGATAATCAGGAGCCAAGACAGTTCTAAATGGCATTGGCAGGGCAGGAGGTGCCCTGTGCCAGAGCTGGACCTTACCTGTGTCTGGCTTAGAGTACTCCAAGCACAGGATCTCAGAATCATGGGCTTCCACCTTGAGCATCTCACTCAGGGACTGCAGTTCATGTACCCTGCAAGGATGAGAAGTCACTGTCAGGCTGCAAAGGGAGGGACCTCCTTCTGTTACATCCTTCCCCACCTTTAAAAAATACCTTAAAGCTTAAAGAAAATTTTAGATAGTACAAATGTTCTATATTTCTCTTGTCCAGTTCTTCTTAATTAATATGCATAACAACAACACATTATAAGAGCCAGGGCATTTGTGATTAATTAAATATCATTCCTGTGTCACCATTTTTCCCATGGTCCTTACAAGAATCCCAATGGCATTTAATTATCACTCCTCTTTAGTTTCCTGTAGTCTGTGATAGTTTCTCCATCTTTCCTTACCTTCATGACCTTGACATTTTTGATGAACACTGACAGTTACTCTGTTGTATGTACCTCATTTAACTCATGAGTGACCTGAGTTATATGCATTTTTTTGAAGAATGCCACAGAAACATAAAAAAATCATGCCCTTAGAACACTGTGCCACGGTTTCCTCATGCTGCACATGGCTGTTAACCATGCCTACTTGCTGAGACTTCTTTTCCTGAGCTTCCCACCGTAAGCTCATTCTTTCCCTTTTAGGGAATAAATATTTTGTTCTTGAGTGTTTTTGGGGAAACACCCCTCCTAAAGCACTGTCCTTGAGGACCCAACTATCCCAGCCACCATGGGAGACAACCAGTACCAAGCCCAGAACTGACATTACCTAAGTGTCCCCATGCGGTCTCCTGAAGCCAGGTGTTGTCCGTTGGGGCTGATACACACAGAACGGATGCCTACTCGGGGGTCCATCAGGGACCCATCAGCTTTGTCTCCTCCAGGCAGCTCAGTGTCCAGCAGAGGCTGAGTGTTCCCGTCCACATAGATGATCTTAATGAGATCCTAGGGAGGAAGACATGGGTGAGGCAATCCCAGCAGGACAGCTGCAATGCCGAGGACTGCTGGTAAAGATCAGCCCTTGGCTCACAGGGCCCAGCCAAACAGAAGCTGAATGATCGAGACTGGGGAAGCTGGTTCCTGAAAACAAGGTCAAAATCTGTAGGCATGGGGGGCGCTGAATATGAAACGGGGACCCAAGCCTCTGGCTCACATTGCTGAGGATGTTTCGGTGCAGGGTAGAGCCATGTACCCCAGAGCTCTCTGTGTTCCACAGGCGGATGGTGTTGTCTGAGGAGCAGGTAATAAAGGAACTGGGGGGCAGACAGGCCTGATTGCTGTCCTTTACCTCAGGGTAGACCTGAAGGGACAGAGGGGAAGAGTTAGGTTCCATTTGGGGGGCAGTTTTGCCTATTCAAGGAGATAGAAATGGGAATGAAATCCAAGACAGAGCACTAAGACTTCTCCAGACGCCTGACGTGTAAGGAGACAAGGTATACATACACAGTGAGAAAAAGCCCGGGAACCTAGCGCCCTCTATGTGCCATAATATCTCAGTTACATTACATTGTTTCATTTCATTGTTAGAACAATTGCATGGACTGGGTACATCATTTTACAGTTAAGGAATCTGGGGCTTGGTTAAGTTCAGTAACTCATCCAAGATCCCTGAGCCCAGGGTGAGGCAAACCTCAGGCTAGGCAGAGGCACACAAGAAGAAGCTGATATGCATAGGCACTGACATTCAAACTCTAGCCCCAGGGTCCATGACAGGGAAGCTACTGAACCCGAAAGCTGTTCTTGGTGCTCTCTGTCCCTCTATTCTCATGATGCTACTCCAGCAAACCTATCCCACATACCTCCACACTCCAGACACAGGAGGAATGATACAGAGCTGAGTACACCTTGCCCACTTTCTTGGGGTCTCTCACGTCCCAAACATAGATGCTGTGGTCGTTGTACACACACGATAGCCACTGATTAGTTGGATCAAAAGTCAAGGCAATGGTGTCTGGGTACCTAGCATTGGCCCCTCCAGAGAAAAGGCGACTGTGGGAGAGAGGACAGAGAGTTACAAAAAGAAAGGGATGGAACACGAGACAGTGTCTCCAGACCTACAGACCCGGAAGTAGACTTGAGAAGACAAAAGCAGTCCCACGAGCTGACTCAACGCCAGCTGCTGAGCATTGAGTTTTCTACAACATTAATGAGTTCATAGGCCATGAATATCAGATGAGGCAATTCTGTGGTAACAATGGGGCACAATGGGCACAAATCTAGATGGTTCTATAAACATCTCTGCACAGATCAAAACAACATCATCATACAAATCACAAAAAATGAGGCTGGGGACATAGCCTGGTGGCAGAGCACTTGTCTAACAAGCAAGGCCCTGGCTACTCCCTCCAGCACCTCAAAATCATCGTCATCATCACCGTCGTCATCTACTGAGAGCACATGCCTAACCATAAAGTCACCAAACATCACTCTTTCCCTTTCAGCATGACTGGTGGCTGCGTCTTTATCCCAGTGCTTAAAGATAATCAAGGTGACCAATTGTAAAACTGACCCCATTTTCTTGTATCATCCAACTAGCAGCTTTAATCCCTTCAGTCATTCCTAAGACCACCCTCGACAAACCAGATTGATAACAGCTCTTCCCGCACTCACTAACTGAGCCACTCTGTCGTCCTTCACAGTATGCAGTCTCCTTGGTCCTGACAAAGACCAAGAAACCCAGATTTCTTTGTCTACAAAGGTGTTCCAGGTAATGTTAAGTATCGATACATTTTTCATTCTGTTCCCTGAAGTACTGACTAAAATTCTGAATGGAACTGTGGGCCCCACTTAGCTCACCTGGCCTCAGTGATGCTGGCAATGTCTGTTCCCAGGGCATGGGGTCTGGGTAGGGTAACGAGGAAGTGCAGGTTGGAGGGGTTGAAAAGGCGCACTGTGCCATCGGCACAGCCACAGAAGATGTATTCTTGGCTCACAGAGATGCAGTGGGCCACAGTGGTCTGTGGGCAGAGTAGCACAAGTCAGTAACATCACCTTCCTATTTAGCCTTGTTTGATCATTGCCACGCCCTCTGCAGCAGTTACTTGTAAAGGAGAGACAGGCCAAGGCAGGGGCAGCCCTAGTTATTATCCAGGATGCCCTCCCTCCAGCAGTATGTGCCCAGAAGGTCGATAGCCCTGAACAGTTGGGAAGTGGGGTGAAAACCGGGGACCCTTCTAGGCATCAGAGGGGCCAAGATGCTAAGGTAGGAAAATCCCAGAAAGGAGAAAAAACAGCTGAGGAAGAGAGGAAGACCTAGGAGCACTTACTGTGATGCTGTCAGTGTTCTGAGCACAAGAGGAAAGCAGGGGAGAGAGATGAGAAAGAACAAGAGGAGGCAGTCATACAGGTCATGGGACCAGCCCTGGGTCTCCTGGAAATCCAGCCCCTCTGGCATGCACGGAGGCCCAGCCCCAGGTCTAGAGCCCCAAGGCCAGTTCTCCCCTAATTTGAGATATAACTGAACCCTGTCCTGGAGCCAGAATTACTTACCCTTAGCTCCACCCATTTGTCCAGAAGCCTGCGGTCGCTGAACTCGCACAGCAGCCCTGACGACGTGATACAGAAAGTGCTATCGGCCTTCTTCCCGCGGCCACAGGCCACATCCGTGAACAGGTTGTTCCGCAGTTCCCCCAGCAGCCCCGAGCGGCCCAGCAGGGGCACAGTGGCATTCACCTGTGGAGATGTGACATTACATCCATCTACCCCTGGAAATGAGGTGCTCAGGAGGAGAGGGCAAGCACAAGCCCCTACTCTCTAAGACTACTCCTCAGCCCAGGCAAAGCAGGCCACGGGCAGCTAGCTGGAGCAGTATCCAGGGGGCAGAGTCTGTCCTCACCTTTGAGGTCTTACTGTCGTCAAGGTACCAGAATTTGATGTGCCTGTTGCCTGCAGTGACAAAGTAGCTGCAGTCTTCAGAAAAGGACACTGCTGTCACCCGACTAGATACTTTGTTGGAGGCCACAACTATGTTTTTCTGGAGGAAAAGTTAAAGCAGAATCAAAGCTCTGACCCTGGGGACTAAGATGGTTGTGAGAATGGAGCTAGCAGGAATTTCTACTTGGGAAACAAAACAAAACAACTTCTAGTATTTACTGGTCAGAAAAAAAAAAGACAAGCAAATCCTTTTCTAAATGAATTCAAAGGTTTAACTCCTCAGGCGTATGGGAAAACACAAAGCCAGCCCCTTTAGCCCCTTGGTACCCAGTGACTAGTTTCTACTTCAAATTCTGTTCAGGAATGAGATGGAAATCAGTGAAACAAATGAAGTTGCTCAAGTCAGCAGTTCCCTGACTACCCGCACACACCAGAACCCCAGGAGGATGCCAAGGCCACCCCACCCAGCCCACTCACCTTCCAGGCCCACACGTTGACAATCATATCATGCTGGTAACCCACAGACACGATGTACTTGGCACTAGGGGAGAAGGCCACACAAGCCACGCCATACTTATGCTCCTGTAGCTCTGCTACCTGGCTACGTTCAGCCACATCCCAAACCCGCACGGCAGGCATGTGCCCACTCTGTAGAAAGCAAGAATGTGCGTGAGTGAGAGCTATGGGAAGGTGCTGTGTAGCCTCCTTGGGCTTTTGCCTCCTTGGCTTCTAAACACGGCTTCTGCAGTGGGTCTCTGCTCAACAGCAAAGATCAAGACAAAGGCACAGAAGACACAATAAACATCTGGGGACACTTATGAGGACAAGACTAGCCCAGGCCTCTGTGTCTGAATGACTCTGGTAAGCAGCCAGGCCTATGAAGGAGCACTGCCTACTATTCTGTCTCCTTGTAAGACCAAGGGCTGTGTTCCTGGTGTGTCCAGCAGGGGGCACCTGGAGATAAGAAATAGTTCAGGGTGGTGGTTTTCAAAATGTGTCTTTAGCCATCCCACCCTGTTAGAAGCTACAGCGAGAGATGGCTTCCGCATGGAAAGGCACTGGACACCAAGCCTGATGACCTGAGTGAGATTTCCATGCTCCCTTCCTCACACAAAAAAATGAGTACGTATTTTTTTTTTTTTTTTTTTTTTTTTTTTTTTTTTTTTTTTTTTGCTTTTAAAAGAAAAGCTACCTGGGGAATCCTAGGTTACAGAATCACACAACTTTGGATCAGGGGCCCAGCTGTGAGCACTTTAGAAAGCCATTGCAGTGACTCTGATCACACTAAGCTTAAGAACAACTCCTGAAGACATGACAGAAGCCAGGGGGACGGCACCCACCCTAAGTGGACATAGGATTGTTGCCTGTTCCTCACTCACCTCTCCAGTGACCAGGTACTTGCCATCAGGGGAGAAGGCAAGGGCAGTAATGGTTTTCCTACAAGAAATAGGGCAAGCTTGGTTGGACCTAGGAAACTAAGCCCCCTACTCCCACACTCCCCCCCCCCCTTTCCTGTGTAGTTTCCAAAGGCAAGGCCAAAAGGCTAAGGGTCTACAGGGCACTTCCTATCTGGCCTCAAGGCCAAACCTTGTCCCAAGCCCCTGGAGGCCATGCCCACATACCTGGAACTATTGAGGATGTGCTGTTGTTTGTGTTTCCGGGGATTGAACAGTACAACCACGCACCTGAGAAAATGAGTGAGATGTTATGCTTAGCTCTGGACCACAGCTCCTTCAAGAGCCCACCTGGGACTGCTGGTCACCCAGCAGAGGGAACAGATCAATCAAACTCTGAGATTCTTCACCCAAAGGGTCTATCTCAGCAGCTTCAGGTGGAAGCCCATTCACCAGGACCGTAAGTACCAGCCCCATCTCTGATCACACCCCACAACAGGGATACTTCCCACAACCTTCACACACACCCCAAAGAAAGAACACAAGATGGAGGAATAAATGTGATTTGACCAGCTCAGGCCTCAGCTTGCAACCAGTTCTCAGGCTTAGAGCCATGTCTTAATCATTGTTATAGATGGTGTGTCTCCACCTATTGAATAAGAAAGACTGTGGGGCTAGGCAAGGCACCAGAACTGTAGGGAGGCCTAATAAACTGGAGGTGGACGGAGCAGAGATAGCCTGAGAGGACCTGGGAATGACTTGAGAATGCTACAGAGCTTCTGGCTGAGCCAAAGGACGCCTGGGTTTCAGGGCCTCAGCAGGGCTTTCTGACCACCAGACCAAGGCAAGTGGAGAGTCTGCACCCATTTCAGGAAGAAAAAAAAAAGGGTTATGACTACCTTTCCACCCAGGGGACAGGGCTTCCAGATGGGACCAGATCCAGACTGACTGCCCAGAGGCAGATCTGGGGAGGGGAGCTGCAGCAATATGCCAGAGGCCAAGAGTCAGACGGTGTTCTTAGCAGGCCCCTTGGTGGTAAGCAGGCCCTAGCCTGTTGTCCAGCTGTCTAACCTCTTGGCACTGGAGTAGCTGACAGGGGCAAGGCTGGAGGCTGCACACCATAGAGGGGAGGAGGGACAAGCAGACAGAGACTGCAGTGGGAAACTACATAGAGGTGCACACTGGTAACAAGTACTTAGCGTCTTGGGCTCAATAAACTAATCCAATATACAGAACACACATGTTCTCTGGAGACGCTGGACCTTTGGTGGAACCAAACATGTCCAGAACCAGAACTTCTACTGACCAGCAAATCTGAAGTCTTTTTTTAAAAAAATTTATTTATTATGTATACAATATTCTGTCTGTGTGTATGCCTACAGGCCAGAAGAGGGCACCAGACCCCATTACAGATGGTTGTGAGCCACCATGTGGTTGCTGGGACTTGAACTCAGGACCTTTGGAAGAGCAGGAAATGCTCTTAACCTCTGGGCCATCTCTCCAGCCCAGCAAATCTGAAGTCTTGAATCTCACCACCATCCATTCCCTCTCCCAGCCTTCCTCAACTGTCTTCTTTCTCCCTCCCTCATCCCCACGCTCTCCTGCTCCCTTTTCCCTATTCTCTTTTTTCTCTTCCTACATCAACTTCTGATCTCCCAAGTCTCCTTTTTGGGGACGGGAGGTTTGAGACAGGGTTTCTCTGTGTAACAGCCCTTGCTGCCCTGGAACTAGCTCTTGTAGATCAGACTGACCTCAAACTCACAGAGATCTGCCTGCCTCTGCCTCCTGAGTGCTGGGATTAAAGGCATGCACCACCACCATCCAGCCCAAGTCTCCTTCTAAAGTACTATGGTCCAGAAGGGTTTTAAGTATGACAAAAGCCATGTTCAGGGGCACACCTGTCATCCAACATCCAACCAAATCAAGCTTTGACTCTTCAAATGTTCAGTGTGCAATATACCACGTTTGTGGTGCTTTGACTGAAAATGCCCCCTCCCCTAGGCTCACAGAGAGTGGCACCGTTAAGAGGTGTGGCCTTGTTGGAGTAGGCGTGGCCTTGTTGGAGGAAGTGTGTCATTGGGGGTGGATTTTGAGGTTTCAAAAGCTCAAGCCAGGCTCATTGTTACTCTCTCTTCCTGCTGCCTACCAATCCAGATGTAGAACTCTCCGCTACCTCTCCACCACCACATCTGTCAAAGTGCTGCCATGCTCTCCACCATGACAATAACAGACTGAACCTATGAACTGTAAGCTAGCCCCAGTTAAATGTTTTCCTTTATAAGAGTTGGCTATGGTCATGGTGTCTCTTCACAGCGATAGAAACCATAACTAAGACAGAGTTCAAAGCTAGACTGGACTACAAAGTAAAACTTTTCCTTAAAAACATAAAACATGACATAACCCAAGATGGCTCTGGAAATTCTGTACTCTATCACTTCTGAACAGGTGTATGAAAATACACGTTAGTTACAATTCAAGACTATTCGGTGTGTGCAAAATAATACCCTCTAGGCTGACCCACAGAGTTTTCTGTGGCTGCTGTGTTCTGAGCCCTTCCTTATAGTTTGCCCTGCACTGCTAAAGAGCCCCCTATAGGCTCAGCTCTAGCAAAGGTGTCTAGTCTGACAGGCTATGGGCCACTAGCTTTCTGACCAGTAACAGATGAACAAGGGCCCCCTGTTACAGAACTCCTGTGACTGCAATGATGACACAATGCAGCCAACCACACTCCACATGCAGAACAAGTGGGTGCTGGGGGCTCTGCCTGTGAGTGTTCCCTTACGCCTATCACCCTAGAGGTAGTAGGGTAGCTACCAGCAGGGCAGCCTTTACAGGGCAGTGCATCAGACTGCTTGAAACACTCCAACCTGGTGTGGTGGCACACACTTACAATCCTAGCCCTTAGCAGGTGGAGGCAGGAGGATCAGAAGTTCAGTCATCCTCAACTATACATTAGGTGTGAGATCAGCTTTGGCTGTACAAGATCCTGTTAAAACAAAATAAAGCAAAACACCAAAACCTTTCTAGTTATTATGTACAAATTCGAGTCTTTATGGGATACAATTTCTTCTGTTTCCTCCATCTCCTAAGTTCAAGCTCACAGAGGATATAGGAAGGCGAGCAACACTGTGTGTGTGTGCATGCATATGCGTGAGTGTGTGCACGTGTGCTTCTGCATGCGTGCCTGACAATGCAGGCAGAGTGATGACTGGCTACAGGCAGATGAGCCTCATTCACTAGGAAATCTTCAGGCATGGCAGGGAAGGAAACACACAAGGTGCAGCCTTTACTCCTATTTATTCAGACTGGAAACTAACCCCTCAGAGAGAAAGAGAGACACAGTGAGCACACATGTATTTCTCTATGGAAGAGACGTGCCCAGCTCACTTAAGTCCTTCCAACTACACAGGAAGACCTATTCTTTAAACACCTGAGAACCCTCTTTGGTCTTCTTAGTGGACTTTTAGCAAACGACTCAGTCTGCCAGGGAGAGAAGGGTGGGGCACAGCTGGCATCAGTCCTTGCCAGGCAGGGTAAGCCCTTGCAGCAATGCTCCCTGAAATCACCAACATAAGGACTACAGGGTTGGGCTGGCCCAACAGGCTGACTCCTGTAACTTAGAACTTGAGGGCACAGAGAGGTGGCTCATCCTCACGGAGGGAGGGTACGTCCCTTCGGGCCTCAGTTCAGGACACTAGTGCTAGGAAGGGTGGAGCCCTTGGCACCCAATCCTGCACAAGCCCAGGCTTGCTTCATTCTCACAGGACCTGTCTTCTCCCTCTCCCAGAGGCAAAGCCAAAGGAACAGCATATGAGCCATGAGTGGAGCAGCACACACACAAGCAGGCCCAGGCTGTTCAACAAAAAACAACGTGTCTTCAAATTTCTTTCAGGCTAAGTAAAATCAGAAGGGCCTCACAGGGGCATACTGGAGGTCCCTTCATGCATGACTAAAATGCTACCCTCTGATCCTATTATTAAACCTCGCTCCCCGTGTTCTTTACTGCACTTTACCACTATCACTTATTCTTTCTCCAACGCATGTAGCAACTTATAATTTTCTACCTAACTTTGTGAGCGGTGCCTATCGCTGCATTTTCAACTCAGCCAAGAGGTCATTTTTGTGTTTTGTGTTGTGTTAGGTCCCCAGTCCCAGGAAGACAGGCACTCAGTATTAGTGGAAGGTGGAAATAGAGCTTTAAACCAGGTATGATGGTACATGCCTATAACCCCAGCATTCAGGAGGTGGAGGCAGGGGGATCACAAATTCAAGGGTTCCATAATGACTCAGGTCAGTATGGAATCCATGAGAGCCTGAGGAAGGGAGGATGAAGGGAGGGAGAGAACGTGGGAGGGAGGGAGGGAAAGAGGGAAGATGGGAGGGAGGGGAAGATAGAGTCAAAGAGAAAGAAATAAAAGAAGAAAGAGAGGGAGAAGAAAATTAGGAAAGAAAGAAGGAAGAAAGAGAAAACACACCTTAAATCTCCAAACTCTGTTGAAAAGCTGGGCAGAACTCTGACCTCAAGCTGCAGAGGCAGGTCCATGCTTCTCCACATTACAGTCATAGCTCCCTGGTGCCCAAGGGTAGTATAGCGATAGAGATGAAGATCACTGTGGTCATGGTCAGACCGACTCATCTGCTACTATACGGTGTGGCCTGAAACATGTTTCTTTACTTTCAAAACCCTCAGTCTCCTCCTCTGTGAAGCAGATGTTTCTCCCAGAACTGCGGTGGACACCCCAGCCAGCATGGTGTTCACTACAGTCTCTACTGTCACCTTCACCACACTGACATGTCTCTTGGCACGTCTATGAATTTCCAAAATGGTTTAACTGAGGAGGGCAGACTCACCCTGAATGTAGGGAGAATGAAACCATGGGCTGAGGTCTAGAATTGAATAAAAAGGAGGAAGGAAGCTGAGCATAGATTTCATCTCTCTGCAATGTGCTCAGCTGCCTCACATCTGCTGCCGTGGCTTCCCTGCCTCCTCACACCTGCTGCCGTGGCTTCCCTGCCTCCTCACACCTGCTGCCGTGGCTTCCCTGCCTCCTCACACCTGCTGCCGTGGCTTCCCTGCCAGGATGGGTTGTAGCTTCAAACTGTGTCCCAAAGTAAGCTTTTTTCTCCTCAAGCTGCTTTGTTATGTACTCTATTACAGCAACAAGAGTCTCTGTCTTAGTCACTGTTCTGTTGCTGTAAAGAGACACCATGACCATGGCAACTCTTCCAAAGAAAGCATTTGACTGGGGGCTTGCTTACAGTTTCAGAGGCTTAGTCCATCATCATCACTG